AAACATAGATCATAGACTCATAGAAAATTTTATTTTACTCTCTATATTAGCATCTGATTACACCACTTTATATTCATACACTCTTACAACGACTATATAATTTATAAAAAAAACTTTATGTAAAAATGGGTAAATCAAATTCAAAATCTATTCATTCCTCTCCTTCCCTAACTTCCATATCATCGGGAACATCAATTCCAAGACTTCTTAGAACGCATCGGCAAAAAAATTCTTCTAGTTCCGCTCTAACTTATTTTTCTTCAAGTTCTTCAACCCATTTATCTATAAATTCCCCAAATTCTTTAAATTCTCATCTTGAAAGCATGTCTAAATATCCTTCTTCATTACATGAGAATATTGCCAATTCTGAAGATTTTGATACTTTTCAATATATTGGAAATCGAAAGTATTGTAGGAGTGGAATTGAGGATGTGAACTATGTGTATCCAGTCGATGATGATGAAGTTGATCGGTGCCAAATGCAACATTTTTTAATGAAACATATTTGGGAAGGTAATTTCTCGGCTCCTGTTGAGGATCTCTTATCCAGTCATAATACTAAAGTTCTTGACATTGGGTACGTATTTTAATCACGTGATTTCGGCTATTGCCCTGTTTGTATTCATTTAATTGGTTTCGCAACTGCATCTAATCAATTATCAAACTCTTTTTCTATATTTAATTCATATAATAAATAATTATGTACCATTTATATATCAATCTATATATATCAAACTCTACATATCATTCTCTATATTATAAATCCATATGCATACATTATATTATATTAGTTGTGGTTCCGGTGCTTGGGTTTTGGAAATGGCCACAGAACATCAACGTCCACAATTCGTAGGTGTAGATATTGCACCACTTTACCCTTCCGAAATTCATCCAACCAATGTAAAATTCCGTCAAGCAAATGTTCTTAGTGGTTTACCATTTGAAGATGAAACTTTTGATTTTGTTTATATGAGATTCATGACTTTTGCTTTCACAATTAATGATTGGGAACGTGCTTTAAAAGAAATTTTAAGAGTTACAAAAAAAGGTGGTTATATTGAATTAATGGAAACTGACTTTAAATGGTACAATGAAGGCCCATTTAATAAATCTTCAAGTATGTATATATATTTATATATATGTATGTTACGATGAATTGAAATTTAATATGTTTAGTGTGACATCATCAATCGATACACTAATTCATATTTGAAATTATAATTTATTTATTTTATTTATTTTTTTAATATGTAATAGTTGGTGATTTCCTACGCACTCAAAGAAACATGGAAGTCGTTGTATCCCCTCTTATCACAAAACTTCTTACTAAACTCTGCACCTCTGAAATAAATCACAACGAACGAAAAATAGCAATTGGCGAATGGGGTGGCAAACTTGGAAAATTATATCAAGAATTATATGGTTGGGGTTCTAGAAATCTTAGAAGAGTTATATCCGATATTGGTTTCAACGAAAAAGAATGGGATGATACTGTTGACATTTGTTTAAAACAGTTGAACGAACAACGGGCTTATGATATGATTCATAGACTCTGGATCGTGAAACCTTCTGGAAATGATGATGAATAATTGAAATTTGTCTAAAACAGTTGAACGAACGATAGACTTGTGATATAATTCCTAGATTCTGGATCATAAAACCTTCCGAGAATGATGATGAATAAAAAAAAATAATAAATAGATTTCCTCCACCATTCTACTTAATAATCCGACATTCCTAAATATATTCTAGAATTCGCCGATGCATTTCTTTTTTGTACATTATTATATAGATACATACATACATTCATTCATTATACATTGCATGCAAGCATAATATATATCCTATCCTCCAAAGTACATATTCCTTTTTACCCTTTTAAAGAAAACGTTATAAAAAAAAATACATATATTACTTTTTTTTTCCTTCATATAACATACATTCTTTTATATACACAACGAAAAAAAAGCAAAAAATCCACTTTCATTTGTTCATAGTTGCATTCAACTCTCATTTTTATTTAGAATTTTAGTTAAAATATTTTCTTTGTAATGATCTTTGTAATGTTCTTTGTAGTAAACGTTTTTTTTTTTTTTTTACATACACACACACATAAATACGGTAGAAAATTTATATATATACATCAAAGATTTTTTTTTTTTTTGTACATATTTATGTAATTTTTTAATTTTCTACCATATATTTATTATTTTACTATATAGTTTTTTTCTCAAACTTATAATAAGTTTTTCCCCCCGTATATAGACTTTAGAGTTCTATATATATATTATTAACCGAATTGAAAATTATGAAAAATCTAATAAATTTTGTTCACAATGAGTATTTATTCTATAAAATTCAAATATCTTTGCTTTCATTATCTATCTATCTATATATACATACATATATTGTATTTTTTTTCTTCCTCAATATAAATTGGAAAAAACTAGTATATAATTTGTAAGTTTTATTGAATGAATGTCCTTATGGACGGAATCATCCTATTAAACTAGTCCTAGAACTTGAATTAATTTGGGTTCATTTCAGAACTTTGTCATAGAACCAAGTTCATTCATTCATAGTGCTTACGTATGTTGTGAAAGGCAAAACTTGTTACACAAATGTAATGATTAGAATGATTAGAATGAATAGAATGACTAGATCGACTAGAACGATTAGAACGATTAGAACGATTAGAACGGCTAGAACGGCTAGAACGACTAGAACGACTAGAACGGCTAGAATGACTAGAACGGCTAGAATGACTAGAACGGTTAGAATGACTAGAATGACTAGAATGTGATAGATATCTAATTCTAAAGTTAGTAGAAACTCTAGAATCCATAATTTATCAATTTATCGAACCATGCAAATTCGAATCCAAATAGGGATAGTATTCGAACCAGATCCGTTATTACTAAATCTAACATAAAGTGCAATTCCTTTCTTAATTACATCTAACTATGGATATAACGGATATGTATATGTCATGCATCAAATTAAAATTTGTGTCAGATTAAAATTTAAATGTGGATTTTTTAGGGTAAGGGTGAGCGCCTATGTTGGGCATTAGCGGAATTATAATGATTTTAATCTGACGCAGATTTTAATTTGACGCACAACATATCTAACAGATTAAAATTTAAAAATTTATTATAAATCCGTTATATATCTATTAGTAAACTATAATGGATGTTTCAAAATTCCATTATATCGATTGTTGATTGTATTTTGCAGGCATTTTTATTATAGTAATTATAAAAATCCTTCAATAAATCTTAGCTAAAGCTGTTCGAGTTTTATTTAAACAAGAACAATCATTTTTCTTATAATTTTAAGAATCTTTATTAAAACCCGTACGTTATTATTATTACTGTATTTTCTCATTCGTTATTATTGTTTTTTTTTATCAAGGTATGATATCGTTAAGGTCTCATGGATCCGAATCGAATCCGAATCGAACCCAAATCTATGTGATAGGTTTCGAATCCTAACTTAGATTTGATTTGGTTTTTGGATCGAAGCTGAATCTTGAGAAAGATTCGTTCGATTCAGCTTGTACGGAACAATAGTAACGGACCTTGTTTGAGGCAAAATTTATTTGGCTAAAGAATTAGGGTTTTGGTAAGGATGGTATCAAATTCAAAAAACTTTTAGAAAATTGATTCTGGTAAATTGATAATTCTAATAATTATTTCGAATCGATTTCATTTGTGGTAGTGTTACGACAAGGGTGAGACTTTATTGTTGCACTGCCAATTTAACTACAGGTCGTAAGCATTAAAAATAGGAAACAATTAACCTATGCTTTATTCCAATTGAGCAAAAGAAGAACCTCTTATTATTTACAAAGAATATCTCTATTTATATTCATTCTATTAGACTCAAATTGACTAAGATACTATTATATGCAAATGTAGTCATAGCTTAATAATCACATTAAAAATGTCATAATAATGCAAGAGTCTAATAAAGTAAAACCTATGACTATCATAACCTATAATGTTATTCTAATTTCATAACATCTTCTTCTGCTTCAAAGATAAGCTCCAGCGAATCCGCAAAATTTTCCAAATTGAATAAATGCTATATGCCTATTATGCATGAACCTTCATGTTAAATCCAACATGCATTCTTGATTGATAGATTTCACAAACATTGATGTCTATAAGGTCATGTGATTAAAATTTTAAACAGCTTACACAAACTCTAAGAATGTTTTAATTAGGTTCATCTTGCACTATCATGAAAGTTTTTTTTTAATTTTATTACTTTATCCAATTGTCTTTTAAATGTTTATTTTTAAATCTTTTTTTTGAGTTGAATTTAAAGCTGATTTAGTTCAAGAAAGTTGAAGTATAGCAGTTGATCAATTTTGTAAATAGAGATTTATATAGATATTGATAAAATTTCTTTATGGCTCATGCAATAGAAAAATATTTTGATCTATTTATAAAGTAGTTTTTCTTGGCAAGTTTAATTAATTAACTTTTATTTTTGTTAATATAAGTGTGGCTTTTTTAGATTTCAAATTCTATTTAAGTATTTTTTTTTATCTTTAGAATTATATTGTTTGCTTGGATCACCATTGTTATGCTGGTTTGAATATAATATAATTTTGTTAATTTATCTAAATTAGAAGACAATTCTTTGTTTCTATTATTATTAGATAATTTATATATACATATATATATTTCTAACTTTGACAAGTTGTATTAGTGATCTATGTTTATTAAAGCCTTGTTGCTACTAATAACAATATAAAAAGAAATCTTCAGCCTGACTCATGCAGCTACTTCAACATGATCAAAGTTATCCAAGTGCTCACATTTGACTCAACTGCACTAGTAAGATCTACATAATACTTAACTAGATACACATCCAAGAGAAAAAAAACTATATAAAAAGAACATAGCGGTATAGGGAAAATATATTAAAAACACATACAGTTGGCCCTCTCAAAACCGGTATGCATGGTGGATGGGTTCTGTATCAGTTTTGGGAGGTTATCGGATTTGAAAAATCACATGATAATCAGAAAAACTTAGCTCAAAGTTTTAAAAATTCAACAGTACTTAAATTATTAAGGCTATACAAAAAATGATTTTTCGTTTTGCATTAAATGACATTCGAAATTTCGGGGGGTTTTTTTTTGTTAATCTATATAGCAAAGTCTTTAATTTCTAAGGCTTTCTTAAAAAAGCATTTTACTGGTTCAGATGATTTCAAGTTCATTAACTTTTAAATCAGTTAGATCATAAGGCATTATAAAACTATATTGAATTTACGTTTAATCCTATCGGTAGCTGACAAAATATAAGAATGACCTGTAAATGTAATGGCTATGTACTAATCCGTTATCCATTTTAAAATTTAAAAATTAGTGCGTATTAATAACAAACTTACAAAACCTTCATACCTTCCTGAAATAATACCAATTCAATTGATAAAAATCGGTCAAAAATGGAAATACTAATAGAATAATTTAAAGATTTCTATTGTAACCGTTGTTGGGAGAGCTTATGAAAATAATATGAATAGAAGGCCAATTTAACTCCAACGGTGTACGGGAAGATAAATATAAACTTAGAGAAACGAAGGGAGTTGTTTCTAACTATCGGAGGTCTATTGAGACAATAGAACACTATGAAACGAAGGTTTTAATATTTAGAGGGGGGTGATAATAAGGCGATGCTGTTAGGGATATCTCAATAAAGACGGTGAGGTAAAAGCGGACGATGATCAAGTGATAGTCCACGGTAGTGATTAACAAGGTCGAATAACCAATCGGAAGTCTCGTTCTCTACCACAATTCTCGCAAGTCACCAAGGTGAATGGCAATATCTGATTCCACAATCATTCTAGAATCCGAGTCTTAATAAGCCTAGTCGAAGTTACAAGTCAATTTAATCCGTCGAATTGAGTCTCGAGAGGGTTTATTAAAGTTACTAGTCGAACTCAAAGACAATATGCAAGGGAATATTCAGATAAGCATATATTTTATTCAAGCGAAAAGAGAACGATTTATTTAAGGATGGAATGGTATTCTTTATTAATCATAAAAGTAGAACTAACAAATTCCCCCTTTTTTCACTGTCTCAAACTCTAGGTCCTTAAATACATTTTGAACCTTGGACACGTTGACGTGCCAACTGCCGCATTTATGTGCCCACTGGCATGTTGGCGTGGCCACTGGCATGTTTACGTGCCAACCCCTAGGTCATTTTCTCATGATTATGCGAAGGTATTATTATAACAGGTTCAAACGGTCATGTCTACGTGCCCACTGGCACGACTACGTGCCTCCCCAATACCATCTTTAATCAACTGGTTCTTCTTCTTTCTTCTTCAACCACTCTTCAGCTTTTACTTATTCATACACCTTCTCATACTTCTCTTTTCACTTACCACCTTTCTTACTTATAAATAATTTCTTTTCTTTTCTTCTTTTTTTCATCAATCTCTTAAACATCTCTGATGATATATTTTCACTTTTCTGATACTTCTGTTTTCATCGATCTTTATAATCCTCCATTACTTTAACTTTTTCTTCAACCTCTTATCTTTTTTCTCTAAATATTTAATCTATATATTCTTTCTAATAATTAGTTATAATAATTATTATTATTATTACTATTACTCTTTATTTTATATTATTCTTATCAATTTTTACCTGTTTTTTTTTTATAATTATAAATATTTATTATTAATATAATTATTACTATTATCTTTATTCTCATTATTGATTTATATTTATTCTTTTAAATGTTAGGGTTATTAATGGAGTAGTTTACTCTGGAGCACTCCAGACTAAAACCCAACCCAAATTGGAGTGAGTTTAAAATTATGCCTTTAAATTTGGAGTAACTTGGAGTAACCCAGAGTATTATAGAGCAACCTGGAGCAAAACATTGGAGTAGGTCTAATTTAGTGGAGTGGATTGAAGACTGGGTCAAACCAAACCAACCCAACCCAACCCATTAACAACCCTACTGGATGCCTATATGAAGATCTTTCTTGCTTATATTGCTTTCGATAAGTATGGACTATGTTATAGATATTGATATAGATACTGTTGCTGATGTAGATATTGAATTATCTTAATATTTTATGAATTTTAACAAAATTTAATAATCAATATTATACTTAGCTCTTATATTGTACCAACTTAATCACATGAAACCTTATGCTCTAATTGGATACTTTACAAAAAGCTGTAATTATCTTAAACAGGAAATTTTGAAAATTAGACAATTACCTATTGTAGTAAAGTGGTGATGTCATATAGCCATTGTAGAATCATATATTCGAATCCTGTTTGTGAGCTGCTCAATCTACTGACAGGTTATGGTGATAGTATAGGCACTGCACAACTATCTGTTTATTCAAATAACAAATAGTTGTATTAACAAAATTTAATTTAATAATTTGTTACAAATATTTCTTATTAGAAATATACAAGTTTCAAAAATATTATTTTTAACAATTTTGTTAACATTTTAATGAACAATTTTATATTAACAAAATTCGAATGTTTTGTTAATCAAACACTATTATCAACGAATTAGCCAGGGCGGCCCTCCCAAAGTACTGTCACATGATGAATCTTTGCCAATCAGGAAATGATAATATACGATTGTTGGAATATATAAGCAATTTACGATTATAAAAGTTTAGAAACATATAGCTGCAGCTGCGGTGTTCATCATGTGGCAGTACTTTGGGGGGGCCGCCCTGGCTAATTCATTATCAACTTTTATTGAACTTTTATTCAAGAAACAACTTAAATTATTATTTGTTATAATTTTATAATTTTCTTTATTACAAAACATCACAATTTTTCCTAATGATCACTCATACCAAACTTACAGCTAATGAAAACAGTAACTTGTTAGAAAAAAGTAAAAGAAACAACTACAAATAACAGTTTTTACAGAGGTTAAGGCTTTGCTTGATTTTCTTTAAACTTTTCTGTATATTCAATATATAAGTTAAAAGCATTCTTGTATAAGATAACTGGTAAGAAGGTGGTGCCTTTATACAAAAAATTTAATAGAAGTACTACTTCTGTCGACAAAGTTAAATAATAGTTGGTCTAAAGGAGAACAACAACCAAGTTTTTAACACACTCTTTACTGAAGTTTAAGGACACCTGCAAACCAAAACCCTCTACCAAATCCTACTCTTTGCACTTTTCAAAATTTTCACTAAAAAATGGGAAAAATGGTGTATATACAACAAAAAATCGATACAGTAATAGCTGCCGAAAAAGGAAAATCATATATACATGTACATGTTTACTTTGAGATAAATAGTATCAAATAATGTGATAACATTTGAAACACTGTAGAAGACCCATCGACTTAGTTGGGATAGTATTAAAAGTTTCGACCTTGGAGCTCTACTTCAAAACTAGATGGTTTTTTAATATTTTTATATCCTGGATATAGATATAAATAACTAGTGTAGAGTTTAGTTTAGTTTATTTATAGTACTATATAATTTTTACAATCTGGCACAGATTTAATAGTGCTATCTTTGTTTTGTTTTCTTTTGTTTTTTTTTCAATATTTGTTTTATTTGGTTTTATTAGTTTAGATAGACTAGAACTCGACACCATAGTATTTCTCCATTTTTGTTATGCCTTTTGTATTTGTGTTTGTATTTTATTTTGTAAAAAGGAAAGTTAATTTGGTATAGTATATGGCATTAGCCCTGACTAAAAGATAACTTCTAGTGAGTTAGGGACCTAGAAAGGGGCTTGAAGTCTACTGAAGCAAGTCATATTTGGCAAAAGCATGGATACATTCTTTTACAGGATTAGTATGGCTACTTTTAGGGATATAAATTTTTTAATATAGTTTAATCTGCAAATAAAAAGTAGTAGGACTGAAAATTAAAAAAAAATAATTTTCTTCATTATAACTTTTCAACACAATTTTATTTATTATGGCATTACAAATTTTATTATTATAACTTTATTGTTATAATTTATTTGTTATACTCTTATTCGTTATAGTTATTTGTTATAATTCTATTTTTATAATTTTTTTATTATGACTTTATTTTTTTATTTCGATACAACTTTATTATTTGTTAAAAATTTATTATTTATTATTTCATTTAATAGATTAAAAATTTATTTTTATTAACTTTATTTATATTTATTGAATATTACAAATTTACTTATTATAACATTATTATTTTTATCATTTTATTATTAGCTTTTCATTTATTACAAACTATTATTATTATTATTTTACAAACTAGATTAGATTTAATTTTATTATTTTATTTATTAATATTTACAAAATATTACAGAAAGAATTTTCAGTTTATTCAGCCATATTTTATC